AGTGTACATAGTGTACCCACCACACATGGCGTGTGTAGCAGTGTACATAGTGTACCCACCATACATGGCGTGTGTAGCAGTGTACATAGTGTACCCACCATACATGGCGTGTGTAGCAGTGTACATAGCGTACCCACCATACATGGCGTGTGTAGCAGTGTATATAGTGTACCCACCACACATGGCGTGTGGAGCAGTGTACATAGTGTACCCACCATACATGGCGTGTGTAGCAGTGTACATAGCGTACCCACCATACATGGCGTGTGTAGCAGTGTACATAGTGTACCCACCACACATGGCGTGTGGAGCAGTGTACATAGTGTACCCACCATACATGGCGTGTGTAGCAGTGTACATAGTGTACCCACCATACATGGCGTGTGTAGCAGTGTACATAGTGTACCCACCACACATGGCGTGTGTAGCAGTGTACATAGTGTACCCACCATACATGGCGTGTGTAGCAGTGTACATAGTGTATTCACCAAACATGGCGTGTGTAGCAGTGTACATAGTGTACCCACCATACATGGCGTGTGTAGCAGTGTACATAGTGTATTCACCAAACATGGCGTGTGTAGCAGTGTACATAGCGTACCCACCATACATGGCGTGTGTAGCAGTGTACATAGTGTATTCACCAAACATGGCTTGTGTAGCAGTGTACATAGTGTACCCACCATACAAGGCGTATGTTGCAGTGTACATATTGTACCCACCATACATGGCGTGTGTAGCAGTGTACATAGTGTACCAACCATACATGGCGTGTGTAGCAGTGTACATAGTGTACCAACCATACAAGGCGTATGTTGCAGTGTACATAGTGTACCCACCATACAAGGCGTATGTTGCAGAGTACATATTGTACCCACCATACATGGGGTGTGTATCAGTGTACATAGTGTACCCACCGTACAAGGGGTATGTTGCAGTGTACATAGTGTACCCACCATACATGGCGTGTGTAGCAGTGTACAAAGTGTACCAACCATACATGGCGTGTGTAGCAGTGTACCTAGTGTACCCACCATACAAGGCGTATGTAGCAGTGTACATAGTGTACCCACCATGCATGGCGTGTGTAGCAGTGTACATAGTGTACCCACCATACATGGCGTGTGTAGCAGTGTACATAGTGTACCCACCATACAAGGCGTATGTTGCAGTGTACATAGTGTACCCGCCATACGTGGCGTGTGTAGCAGTGTACATAGTGTACCCACCATACATGGCGTGTGTAGCAGTGTACATAGTATACCCACCATACATTGCGTGTGTAGCAGTGTACATAGCGTACCCACCATACATGGCGTGTGTAGCAGTGTACATAGTGTACCCACCATAAATGGCGTGTGTAGCAGTGTACATAGCGTACCCACCATACATGGCGTGTGTAGCAGTGTACATAGTGTACCCACCATACATGTCGTGTGTAACAGTGTACACAGTGTACCCACCATACATGACGTGTGTATCAGTGTACTTAGTATACTCACCATACATGGCGTGTGTAGCAGTGTACACAGCGTACCCACCATACATGGCGTGTATAGCAGTGTACATAGTGTGCCCGCCATACAGAGCGTGTGTAGCAGTGTACATAGCGTACCCACAATACATGGCGTGTGTAGTAGTGTACATAGTACACCTACCATACATAGCGTGTGTACCAGTGTACATAGTGCACCCACCATACATGGCGTGTGTAACAGTGTGCAGAGTGTACCCACTATACATGGCGTGTGCAGCAGTGTACATAGTGTACTCACCATACATGGCGTGTGTAGCACTGTACATAGTATACTCACCATACATAGCGTGTGTAGCAGTGTACATAGTGTACCCACCATACATAGTGTGTGTAGCAGTGTACATAGTGTACCCACCATACATAGTGTGTGTAGCAGTGTACCTAGTGTACCCTCCACAGGGTGTACATAGTGTATCCAAACAGTGTACAAAGTATATCCACCACACTGCGTACATAGTGTACCAGTCACACACCGTACATACTGTACCCACTACACGGAGTACGCAGAGTACCCACCACACAGTGTGCATAGTGTACCCACCACACAGTGCACATAGTGTACCCACCATATAGTGAACATAGTGCACTCACCACACAGTGTACCCACCACACTGTGTACCCACCACACAGTATGCATTATGTACCCACCACAGTGTACATTGTGTACCAACCACACAGTGTACATAGCCTACCCTCAACAGTTTATATAGTGTACCCACCACACAGTGTACCCACCACTCAGTGTGCATAATGTACCCACCACAGTGTACATAGTGTACCCACCACACACTATGCATAATGTACCCACCACAGTGTACATAGTGTACCCACCACACAGTATGCATAATGTACCCACCACAGTGTACATAGTGTACCCACCACACAGTGTACATAGCCTACCCTCAACAGTTTGTATAGTGTACGCACCAGTGCACGTAGTATACCCACCACACAGTGTATTTA